TAAATTCAGTGAACAGTAAATAATTTCAGTCAAAAACTGCTTTTAATCACTCTAAATTTTCTGTTAAAATTTTTTGTTCGAATTACAGAATATTCGAGCAAAAAATTTTTTTATAAAAATTCGAAACCGGTTAAAACCGGTTTTCTGGAAAAATTACTATTCGAAAACCGGTTTTCTAAAATGTCGGTTTTTGTATAAACCCTAATATCTACTGCCTCATATTACAATAGACATACGAAGGTGCATTTTTATGTTCGCGGAATGGAGAGTAAGGGGGTTAATAAAAAATTTTATATCATCGAAAAAAAATATTCAGTTTTGAACACATCTTTATTTACCGTACAAAGGGGGGTCTTGAATATATGCTTACGTAATACTTGAACGCCTCCCTGGGAATCGAATTGGTGCTTCAGAAGACTGAAAATTGTACTTCACAGGAAGTAATTTTTCATTAATAGCCAAAGTATAAATAATATTGTGCGATAATTTATCCTCATATATATCGCTATGAGCGATATATGTATATAAACATTAAAAGTTACTTCAAAATTATTAACCATTTTTTATCAGGAGTTCCACAAGGCACACACTTGGGTCCTCTCTTATTCAATATATTTATAAATGATCTCACGTATATTTTAGAAGAGGCAGAGTGTTTATTATTTGCAGATGATTTGAAAATATTTAAAACAGTAACTTGTAATAAAGATGCCATGATATTGCAAGCGTGTTTAGACAAGATCTTTACTTGGTGCTCAAGAATAAATGACATATCTCTTAATATGAAAAAATGTAAATCTATAACTTTTTCACGAAGTAAAAATCCGTTAAGTTACGATTATAAAATCAACGATGTGATATTAGACAGAGTTACCGAAATCAAAGACCTTGGAGTAATTTTTGATCAGAAGATGAATTTTGATTGTCAATAAAGCTTCGCAAATGTTAGGTTTTTTGAGTTTAAATCTGCAGTCACTCTTAAAACATTGTATTTATTGGTAGTTAGACCTCACCTAATGTACGCGCCAATGATTTGGTATTCTACTGCAGAAACTCATCTTAAGCGAATAGAAACTGTTCAACATAAATTCTTTGGAATTTCAGCACCACGGCTAGGTTTACCTGATCCTTTTTAAATCACGATTATACTATCATATCAGCCGCATCATGTATTCCGTCTCTTATCTCTCTTAGAGTTTCTTCTGATATAAAATTTTTGTACAAATTGTTAAACGGTATTATAGACTGTCCAAGGCTTTGTAACGAATTATGCTATAATGTTCAAAGTAGAAATATGCGATCTAATGTGATATTTTATTTAAAGTTTTTTAAGTCGGATTACACGAGAAATAATGTAATAACTAGAATATGCTCGACAGTTAATGAAATGAACCTCGATTTGAGATTTGTTACTGGGCAAGATCCTTCATGTTTCTAAATAAATAAATAAATAAAACCAATACAGGGCGGCTCTAAACCCTGATAATTTAAACGTATCTAAGTAAACTGCGACATTAATTTATTTTTACTTGGAAGGCATTTGTTATTCATTTGACATTGTCTCTAATAGGTCACTATCTCGATATGAATCCAGTTTTTATGCGGTTGGCGATAAGACGGACAAAAAAACATTTAGCTTTGTTCAGTTTGCCTTTCTCTTTTCATCGTGTAGTCTATGCATCTTGTGTGGTGGTAAATTAAACTGAATCTATTTGCTGATTTATTTTCTTTAGTAAATTAATTAACGGAGTTTACTTACAATTATCGTGTAGTGAAAGACTGTTTTATTTAAGTGAATCAAACTACAGACGCACAAGGATCATCAGTGCATAATTGAGATAAAGGTAAGAGTTTAAATACAAATATTTGTTTCAATGTACATGTTATAGCATAGAAAAATTGATTAATTGTGCTACATTACTGGTTAAGTAATTTAACTTGTATAGTGGCGGCGGATTTAGCCCATGGAGTAGAGAGGATAGAAGGGGGGGGATATAATTTGGTATAAGTATAAAAAAATCAATGTATAAAATAGACAATTTAAGGTTTAAAAAATGTGTATATGTTACCGGAAATGTATGAAATAAGTTATATTAGACATATTTCCTAGGAAATCTATACATTTCCTAAATAGCAATCGGAAATGTATTACAGGTAATACTAAATAGGCAATAATAAGGTAGGCTTGTTGGAGATGCACCCATATCCATTGGTGACCTCATTGTGTGGTTATCCAATTCTGTCAACAACATATCTTGATACTATGCAACATGCAATATGATTTAATTTGATTTGACTCATTCTTGATCGAATGTAACTTTTAAGACGTTTTAATGTTGANGTCTGACCCTTCTTATGTGTATTGATTTTACAACTCATCGTTCTTTTTCTTTGTCTGTTAATAAATATATACAATTTGTAGTTTTTCTCTCTATTAAACTTAATAATTAACCAAAATAGAAAGTTATTTATTTTTTAAGCTTTGTATGACGCCCGCTTAGTATGACGTGTTTGTTATTTACCTTCGGTGTCATTATAAGCGGATTCTACTGTATACGTTTTGAGAAAAATTAATGTGACAAAGTTAAAAAAGATTTAAAAGGAGAAAGTTGAACAACTGAATAAAAACGAAATATTTGCTAAATTAACACAAAATACCTTATTTCTTGACGTAATGATGTAGTAAACTACTTAATTACGAATATTTACCTAAATATTACTGTTTTAATACCTTTTCGGGCTTGATATTTGGTGCCAAATGTTTTATCACAATCTGTTTATCTTGGGTATAGGCAACGCATTTGCTGTCTCCTGACCAGACGGCAGCATAAATAGAACTATCGCTGGAAACTAAAGTGGAACGAAGCATTCCACTGCGGGACCAAATTTTGATAAAACCATCTTCACCTCCTAAGGTTTTCATAGTATAATTACAAATATATAAAATCACCATTTGGTACTTAACTTAATAGGAAACATGTGGATGTATGGTAAAATCAGCTTTGTACAGTAAATCGATATATTATTTTCTCTTGCTATCAAACACAAAAGTTAAAAAGAAATGGAAAAGTATAATAATAATAATGATAATTAAATTACTATCAAAGATAGATGAGTCTTGGATAAATTTCGGACAAACAATTTTCATATGGATATGACAGAAATAATTTAACAAGAATTGAATTCATCATAATCAAAAGGTCGTCAATTATAAGACTAGTTGGACACATACCTCCATTCTTTCTTATCCAGAGCTAATTACCCTAAAGTAGAACAACCCATATCTTTACCCGAGATAAAAATGTTCAGTCTCTCAGTCTCTGAAAGCGAGACCCGAGTCTCCGTCTCTCGTCAAGTCTCTCTGGTGTCGCTGAGAGGGACTGTCAAAAAAACTGTTTAGCATGTCTGAACGAGAGACTCGAGTCGCTCATAGAGAGATCCTTTTCGTATCCAGTCTCTGAACGAGATACCCGAATCTCTGAATCGAGTCTCCCCTGTAGAGACTGTGGGAGATCCATAAAAACACCTGAGAGACTGTGAAAGAGTGTGAGACGCTTTCAGAGGCGCTGAAAGACTCTGGGAGACTGGAGACAGACTAAAAATTTTTGTCTAGGGCAACTATTTGCGAACAGTAATCCAATCTAGTTCTACCACTACCCCACCTAACTTCCGTTCCTGCCTCTAATATCTCTATGACTACACATTTATGCCTGAGAAGGTGTCCTACCAACCTATCTCGCCAATTTCTTATTGACTTCTATAGAGTCCTCTGTTCTCCTATTCTGAATGAAAGTATTGAATTTATCAAAAATACATTTACAATTATATTTCATCACCATCATAAGGTCGTCAGTCCTATCACTGGTTTGACACGCAACACCACTCCTTCCTACCCTGAGCTAATTCTCGCATTTCCCTAAAACTAGAACATCTCACATCCTTAACTATTTGGGAACAGTAATCTAATCTAGATCTACGTCTGCTCCTTTTAACTCCTGTTTCTGCCTCTACTATGTCTCTGAATAGACCTTCATGCCTGAGAAGGTGTCCTACAAACCAGGGATGTTACGGAGCTTCGACTCCGGTTCCGTTAAGTCGGAACTTCCGATTATTATTACACCTTCGGTTCCGACACTTTTAAATCAGAGGTCGAAGCATAACATAGCGGTGGCCTGTGTCGACTGTTATGAACAGGTTCATAATATGAACTTCATACATGTCGTGCGGGGAATCCACCCGACTCCCACTACGTGCACTGAGCACTCTATCGTCAATTATTTTTTCATTGTTTGTGTTTTATTTTATAATTGAAAATTGAAATTAAAAAAAATTGACTAAATAATGTTTTATTTGTCCTTAAATAAAAATTCTCTCTCATGCCACCACTTCTGACCCTGCCTCCGATTCTGATTCCGACTCCGATTCCGACTTCGATAAAGCAAATTTAAAAACTCCGACTCCGCCTTCGGTTCCGATAAACTACCTCCGTTACATCACTGCTACAAACCTATCTCGCCTGTTTTTTATTGACTTCCATAGAGTCCTCTTTCTCTTATTCTTTCTAATACCTCTTCATTTCTAACCTTCTCTATCCACGGTATCCTCATAATTGGCCTGTAACACCACATTTAGAACGCTTCTAATCATTTCTTTTTCGCCGCGCCCACATGTTTCGCACCCGTAAAGCGCCGCGCTTCAAACATACTGCTTTCACTATCTTTTCGAATTTCTCAATTAACCGTTCGCTAGCATAGATGTGATTTCTTTTTATTGAAGGCGACTCGGCCCTGCGCTATCCTCTGCTTTATATTCCTACTACTGCTTCCATCCTGACTTATCTGACTTCCTAGATATCTAAAATCAGTCGCATCCTCTGATTTTTCGTCTCCTATCTTTATATTCGCTCTTTCCCTACCATTTCTTCCTTTGCATACCAGTGTTTTTGTTTTACTTTTATTTATTTTAATACAATGCTGTGTTGTTAATACCGCTTAAATTTTATTTGAAGCTATCTCTAACTCCTCCTTATTTTAGAGAAATTTGTAATGGTATATTCCACTGATCAAAAGATTCAGTGGAAGAACAATTGGTGGTGTGGAATCTTTTGCCTGCGAATCGAATTCGCATTTGGCCGATTTTATATTTTGCTCTTTTCTTCCTACCTGTTAACAATCCGTTGCCGTCATAGCTCCAGGCGCCGACCAGAACAGCTCCCTTGTGTGCCTCGACACTCCTCTCGAACCTTCCGTTCCTGTGGACGATGTAAAATTTTCCGTCGGTGGCCGTTAAAAGTATTAAATCGTTCTGTTTGACGGCCGTTCCGCCGACATTTCCGCGCGGCATAAAATGCAAATCTGTCGGGTTCAAATCTGGACCGAATTCTGTTATTTTAATTGGTTCTCTGTTTGATACGGTCCAGGACAAAAGCTGATTATCGTCGCTGTAATTGAAATTACGTACATACATAATAATTATTCACAGTCATTGGTCTCGTGTTATACGGGGCTATTACAGTTACGCGATTAAATTCGCCTATCAAAACTTGCATGTATTCGTACTAACCAATCCGGTGTAGCCGTTGATACAATTTTACAAATTAATTTAGAACGCCGGATTATTTGGTTCACAAATTTAAAAAAATACCTACCTGTTTTTATGTTGTTTGTAATTAATGTACTACACATACATATATGTATATATATCTATACATGCAGTAATATGCATATATATATATGCAGTAATTTAGAACGAAATTTCAAACCACCAATTTTTTATTTTACTTTTAATTGAAGTTGGTTTTATATTACCCATTAATAATTTGAAATATCTCCGTTATTGAAGGGTTTTAATCAAAACTGCTATTAACAAAAAAACACTTCCTTTGTTTAGTTAAAGGTGCGCGCGATAATTAGAAACGGATATAAAATTTATAGTCCCCTTTACCCTGATTATTTTCGTAGGTCAGAGTAAAAAAAACGGTTTTTTGGAGAAAATTATGAAATTCGAAAACCTGTTTTTTAGTAGAAAATATCGGTTTTCAATGTATGAATAACACTTAAAAAAGTTTGAAAATTACAAATGTAGCCAAATGTACCAGATTGATGAAAACACTGTTTGGTTTGGTTTGCAAGCGTTTTGGTTCTTGGAATCATATCGATATAAACGGTGTGTTTTGTCTATTGGATGAATTAATTTAGATTTTATATCAGTTTGATAGTTTTTATTTAAAGGAACCGGAAGAAGTGACTTCCTCTACTCAAACTCTAAGAAAAGAGTTTTTGGCCCTGGAAGCCACAAATAAAAGGACAAAAAATTTAGAATTATTATATCAGGCTTTAAAAACGATTAAGCCTAGTTCGGTCGCAAGTGAGAGGGTATTTTCTATTTCGGGGAATTTTGTGAATAAACTAAGGACACGGCTAAATAGCAAATCGATAGACGTCCTCTGTTTTCTGAAATCATATTTCATTAAACAAAAAAACAAATAGAATATTTAAATTTGTATTAAAATTGCCCGGAATAGAAAATACTCGGTCCTTTGCTTAATTGTCTTTAAAACTAAAATTGATTTTAATAAGTATG